CAGGAGTGACTCAGCATTACTGCCCCTTGCCTTTGAGCTTGCTGCCCTAAGCTGAATTTGTATCAGGTTCTTAAAAATCCAAAGGAAAGCAGCCACTGACCCAGAACCGTGCTTTAGTAGTGAGACTCGTGTTTTGTTGACTTAACGTCTTCTTAGCCCTTTCATCGGGCGTCATCTTCTTCTCATTTCCTTTAATGCTTCTGAAGCTTTTCTTGTTCCTTCTTCCTGTACTTCTTTTAACCATTTCTTGACACTATTGTGCAGTGCATGGCATTTTCACCCAAACTCTTTTTTCTCCTCCCAGTTGATTTAAGATTAGATTTTTTTTATATAGTTTTAATTTAATCAAATGTATTTTTGGGTTTTATTGGATTAAGCTAATCTTGGTCCATATTAACCCTAACCATATTTTTCTTAAGGATAAAAAATGTTTTTGTAACTTTATCCCATCAGGACAGTTCACATAGCTCCAGATTAGCATGGGTTGTATTACATTGTGTTTATTTATTAACCAAATGTTAAGTGTTGTGTTTTTCTGGATATGTTTTAACGTTGATGTTTCCCCCCCGCTAAACTACACCCTAACTCTTCTATTGAATGTCCTGCCTGTCCTCTCCTTCTGTCTCCTTTTCTTTGTACTTAACTTGTTCTTGTTGTATGTCTCTAACATTGTCCTTCTCTGTTCCCCATTTTTTTTCTCCACTAATTTCCCCTCTGCCTGTGCGTGTCGTGGGAATGCCTCTGCTTGATGCATCTTGCCCTCACGTGTGCCAGATTGCTCGTGAAGCCGAGGCGGCCATGTTCCACCGGCAGGTGTTCGAGGACCTGCGTCGCTCCACGCCGCCCTGCACAGACCCCGCAGAGGCTATTGCTATCGGCGCTGTCGAGGCCTCTTTTAAGAGCTTAGCCTCTGCCATGATTGTGCTCACTGGCTCTGGAAGGTAGGCAGGTCCCACAGGTGGAGGAGGACAGTGATGGCGTAGTTAAGGATTCAGAGAGGGAGTGTAGGGCCGGACAGGGACTGAATCAGGAAGTAACTGAGAGAGACTGGCAAACGCCTAAACTAAAAAGTTGTACTGATTTTTTTTATTTGATATTGTTTTGAGGGAACTCTTTTCCTATCATTAAGCCAAAACTGAAGTGGAGTCTAGCAGCGCATTTGCCAGTCTCTCGTAGTTGTGTGAATGACTCTGCGTGAGGCAGTGTGGGTGATTGAGAGTAACCCCGCCCCCCCCCACCCTCCTCCATGGTCCCTCTGGGCTCAGATAGCACGAGAGGCCGAGGCGGCCACCTTCCACAGACGGCTGTTTGAGGAGCTGAGGAGAAGCTCCAAGCTGACCAGAGACCCGTCTGAGGCTGTGGCCGTCGGCGCCGTGGAGTCCGCCTTCAAATGCTGCGCTAGCGCCCTGATAGTCCTCACCAAGACCGGGAGGTAAGACAGACGAGAGGTGGAAGGGTCCTCCTGAAGGTAAAGTGTGGCCAGCGCTGCTCCTAATTCTTCCTCGAACACCTCGTTTGCTCTTACAGATCCCCCTCCTTTGATTGTGTGTGTGTGTCAGAAGTGCGCTGTGTGTGGCGAGATGAAATAGCAACAGATTTAATTTGTGGTTGTCATTAGCACAGTCCAAATGTCCATCGTTAAACCCACTGACTCATCGATTACTTGCATTAATCATCAGACCTGTAAAATGGGGTTTCTTGGCAAAGAATTTTGCAAAAGCATTTTCTTCAGGGTTTCAAATTTCATGGAGTGGACGAAGGCCAATTGGTTGACTAATTCACAAGAAGGAGGTCAGACCTACTCACCAAAAACCCAGCATAAAGATGGTCTGAAGTCTAGATGAACCAGAGTATCTGAAATAACCCGTTGTGTGTAGTGTGCAGATTTTATTCTTACTGAATTGCTTTAATTAATTTGAATGAAGTTCATTTACATGTTAGGTTAACGGCTTATGCATTACTAAAGTTCTATTCAATGCAATACAATATTTATCTTAAAATGGTACCGTTGAATGTTTATCTAAATCGTCTATACTAAATATGTTGACATCACTCAGCAATTATAATTCAGCTTCTTACTGACAGTAACTGCATTTTGTGTAAGCATGACTTTTTTCAATAATTGTTAGTCATACCTTTGCAGTCATTAGTTTAAAAGAAAAGACTCAACATGTGAGGAAATCGTTTAAACCTGTTTCTGTGTGTGTGTGTAGGTCCGCCCACCTGATCTCCAGGTACAGGCCCCGCGCCCCCATCATCGCTGTGACCCGTAACGCTCAGACGGCTCGCCAGGCTCACCTGTACCGCGGCATCTTCCCCGTCCTCTACACCAACCCCTCCCACGACGTGTGGGCCGAGGACGTCGACCTGCGCGTCAACTTTGCCATGGATATGGGTTAGTGTCTTAGTTTCCTTTTTTAACTTGGGGTTTTCTTTTATTACAGTTTCATCTCTTCGTCAGACCAAATGTTTAGCTGTATATTTGTTTTTATCTCCACATTAAGTCACAAAGCTTTCTGATGTTTACTCGCTGATTATTACCCATCATGTCTCCTCAGTAAAAGTGTATTTTAGTATTTAACAGTGCAGAACAACAAGTGTAGATTTGAGACAATGTAACATTCTCTCAGGATAACACAATGTATTTAAATGTTGGATGCTTTGTTTCCAGGTAAGGCCCGAGGCTTCTTCAAAGAGGGAGACGTTGTCATCGTGCTGACCGGCTGGCGTCCAGGCTCCGGTTACACCAACACCATGCGTGTGGTTCTGGTGGCCTGAACAGTCTCCATCCACCTTCATTTATGTTTCATAGCGCTTCACCCTGCACTCCAGCTCACAGCCCCCCCCCCCAGTGCAACAGCTGGGCTCATAGACTCAAACCCTGAACAACTAATAATGTAGGCAATGATGCAATTAGAGTACAGCCTTCATGGCTATAGAGCTGTTTTGGGTGGAGTTTCAATTCGTACACTTTATGTCTCCATTCCTCTCATATCTCTAAATCAAAACCAGTCCGCAGGGCCTCAGATTTAAACACCTTGACCAGAAACTGCTGTATTTATTCACTCAAACACTTATTATTTAAGGTGACTCAGTCTTAGAGTGAATGCTTCCTGGTCTGTGTGCATACTGCCTCCTGTTTAGGTGGAGTTGGGGTTAGGGCTATCTTTTAAAAAGGGCAACTTGAGGACTGTAACGTTGTACTGATACAACTCCTCTGCCGATATAACGAACAAACTTGTTACATCCTAAATCAAAGGGCTCCACCTCTCCACCCAAACAGATCCTCGTGTAGTGCTGTCTGTTTGAAGTGCCCTCTCCAGCTATCACTGTACTTGTGACACGTGTTGCACTCCTTATTCACTCCAGACAATGTTACATTCAATGTTATACTTAACTTCTGTAAATTGTAGTTTTGTTTTGGGACATCCAATACTACTTATATTTTGTCAAACTCAAGAGAAATGTTAGTGTTGGATGTTCAGAGTTGTTGGAGCTAGTTACTGTATTTGTGACATAAAAGCCTTTACCGGTAATTGCATTGGAGCATATTTATTTTGAATCTCGTGGTTTAATAAAGTTGAGTGATTATAAAAGAGCACTTTTAGGGTATTTCCAAAGGGGACCTGATGAAGGGATGACACCCAGTCCCTCTCGACTCCAGTGGGTGAGGGGTCGCCCCACTCTGCTTGTCTTTCTCCTTTTTATGTTGGTGAGCCACTGTAGCTGTCTTTTTGTGTCTAACATGCTTTTGATTGTAACGCTAGAGTGTCTGAACTAACTAAATGTAAAGAGGTATTATAACGTTTAGCTGGTGTACTGAGCTGTCCTTAAAGACTGGATTTCCATCAATAAAAGAGATGAGCACTTACCTTAACTCTGCCTGATGTTTTGTTTGACAATGAATAATCATGGGTGGTTCTACATAATCTTTAGGGAAGGGTCCCGGGTAGTCTAAACATAGTAATAGTCTAAAACAGTTGAATCGCCTGCTAATGTATGTAGGGTGCAGGGTTTTTCATTAAAAATAATTTCTTTCTCCTAGAATGCATCTGCATGGAGTTAAAATACATGTATTAAGGTTAATTTCTTATACAATACTAGACTCCTTTTCAACAACGTTTTATTCATTATTTCAAGCTTTGACTCTTGTGTCTGAATAATCTATACTCAACATGTAATGGCAACATTTAAAGGGTTACGGTAAAGAAATGTGGGCGGCTGTGGCTAAGTGGATAGCAGTGGCGTTTTCTCCTGGAGGCCAAGGGAAGCCAGGCTTCCGTTTTTTTCGGATTGTAGTTATAATTTTAATAAATAAATAAAAACACTTCGTTTAGTTTCGGAAATTCTTTGTGTGTTGCTGCCGAAATGTGCTTCCCTTGGTGAAAAAAAATGGAGGCTGACGTCATGCCCCTGCCAACCTGTGATTGGTCAGGGCCATGCCTCACAATCCAATCAAATCGCATCAACTTGGTGGTGCAGTGACGCGTCCCAAAAAGCGGAAGTAAGCTGCGCTCGGTTTCCAATTCAGCAATGGGATTTCTCTATAGGATTTTGGAAAATAGCTCGAAAAAAGGTCAGTGGAAAACGAACCTGTTAGGTAAATGCACGTTTTGTTCAGTCGGATAATATCCACATGTCTACCCTACTTTTGTAATTTTCTAATCTATAGAAGATAGATAGCGTCACTGCACCACTCTCACCGCCGTTAGAAAGTAGCAAGCAACTGAAGCAAGTGCAATTATGGAGGGTGGAGATTTGGAGTATTTAATAAAAAATAATTGTACTAAACTTCCGCTGCAGCAGCAACAACAAATACAATCTGATGACAGGCCAATGCCCAAACTGGAGCTGTGTACAGCGAGGAACAAAGGAGCGAACCGGACGTAAAACGTTAAAGGTCTCCTGATTTAGTTTATGAATGAATGCTTATTAGAGTTTCGGCTGGAGAGTGCGTGCGGACCTGTCGGTCAGATAACAGGCGTGTGTAAGTCCTGCATCTGTTTGATACAAATGTGTGTAAAATGATACCGGCTGGTTACGTTATTACATTGACCACCACACCCCCCACCCCACCCCAAAAGAAAGGACGTATTATTGGCTTCCCCTAATTTTTTCCCCACGCCACGCTACTGGTGGATAGAGTGCTGGACTTCGAATCGGGGTAGCAAGTTTGAGTCCCCCAAATTGCTCCTGTGGAGATTGCCCACGGTACTGAATGTATGTCGCTTTGGATAAAAGCGTCTAACATGTAATGTTAAATGTGGATATATCAAACCCATAAAGTTATCTCAAAAGTTAAGCTCCCCACTGATATTTTATGAATGCACAATCCAGTCAAAACATAAAGAACTATTTATTCAACAAGGTCAATATATCCAGATTCACAGTTTGAGCATTTACTTGCTGTCCTGGCTGTACACGACCCCCACCTGCCTGCGAATCTCATCCTCCAACTCAGCCAGCAGCAGAGAGTCAGCATGGGAGACGACTGCACTCTCCTTCAGCCCTACATGGGAAATGTCACACTGTAAGAACAAGTTCAGACTGAATCATACACTGTATACATGCATACAGTATGGGAACAGAGTGAAAGCTCTTTAAGATTTCAGTGTTTCTGATGCCACCTTGTGTTGAAAGTATGAACAAGTCTAGAAACATGCCTGAACTGAGGTTATAAGAGTTGGGAATGTAAGGGAAACTTCTGCAGCAATGGAGAGTTAGGACTCAGAGAGACACGAGGAGAGTTGGAGCTTTGATGACAAACACAGATCTTTAATACAAGCATCGGCCGGAGAAATTCACATCACAAGTCACACAGCCAGAGATTCTGACTGCACAGGTGGGTTGCCATGTCAAATCTGACCAGCCTCTCTCTGATCGACCTTTTAACTGTTTTACAGAGAGAATTCACATATTGGGGGAGGGTGCGTAAACACTGGGAACACTGCAGATATCCCCGAAATCTGGAAATACTCAATCACCTGTCTGTGGAGCTTAGAAAGCCAGCGTTCTCACAGTCGTAAAACCCTCTGACCGATAATAAAACTGAATAACGTCACATGATTCCATTATCACATTCCTTACGGGAGATAACAGACTTAGGGCTTGTCGTAAATGTCAACAGGCAATAAGGTTAAATATTTAGAAGTAAAGACAGAATTAATCCCTAACAGGGAATATCATTTACTTCAGTGACAACAGGTCTCTCTCCTGCATTACAAACAGATGTATGAGTCACTTTTAATTGAGTTTAATTATTTTGCATTTGCAAGTTATAGATAAGTCCTACCTTTGCAAAGGTTTAGTTTTTGTTAGCACCCGGTATAATGTCTCAAATATCTAGCTTTATATACATGAATGCATGGTTGGAGACCTCACAAAAGATATCTTTAAATATCTTGATTCTTTTTTTGATATATATTAGTTTTAGTCCTATTTGATTATCACACATGTGAGAACATTGACCTGAGCTGAATAGCTTTGATTACTGGCATTTTATATACTGCAATATTTAAAATCCTTTTCCTATCGTTTAATTGGACAAGAGAGGACTGCATAGGAAAAACCTTAGGGATTAATCATGAACACACTGCATAGCGACGTCTCCTGGAATGTATGGTCCATTCAATTTAAGTGGTTGCAAGAGTTGACAAAAAAAGAATTGAGTCACCTTTTTTCACTAGTTATATATTATAGCTAAAGAACAAAAGAAAAATATATAATTTTGACTGCTTATTTTTCATCTAATCTTCTGTTTTGACAGATATTCCTTAACTGAACTTTCAGAAATCACAGATGAATATACACCTAATTGTGATTTTTTTCCTTTTCTGGTTAATACGTAAATGAATTATTGCTGTAATGTAAATACAATCTGAAATATGCGTAAACTCCCAGTACCTTTGAGCAAACACTGCCGGACCTCCTCTGCCTCGTAACGCATCCCTGTACTGTTGAGGAAGTTGAGGGGCAGATAAGGCTCTGGCACTGGGTACTGGGTCTCCTTCCCATTCACCTCTAATGACGTGGGGCACCACATGTGGTCAGGGATCTAGAGAACATGCAACAGGATATTTTCACAACAATAACATCAGACAATTATGACATGTATAATATGTGAAGAGAAACTACATGTAACTCCCCTCCTACACGGCTTCACACTTGCCCTTGTTCACATTTCAAACTTGAAAATAGTATATACAAATTGCAAATAGGATCTAACATTCAGACTACTTTAATTTGATTTGACTATGTGACCCTGCTGATGACCTACCCTGATGTTTCCCTTTGTGCCCGCAATAATGGCGTCACTGGGCAGCTTGACACCTGAGGAGCAGGAGAACACGGCCATCCTGTTTCTGGAGAACTTCAGAGTGACAACCACAGTCTCATCCACTCCTGCAATAACACACAGATTAGGTCATGCACAGGAACATTTTACTTACACAAGAAATGACTGACACATGCAAAACTGATTTGCTGCTAATCACATTAAAAATACAAGAATATAGCGGTGTCGTTGTTTAAAAAAGTGCAGTGTCTGCCATGTGTCCTCTGCAAATAAAGTGTTGAGTTTGTTTATTACAATGTGCTTTATTATTGAAGAATCAAACAAGATTAGATACCTGGACTATAAAAGCCTAACTTTTATTGTACCAGTTGAGGTGAAGTCTTATCGTACAGGAATACTACCTTGATTAAAGATTATCAATCCACATAAAATATGAAATGTACTTTGTAAAAACAGTTAGCAAGCTGCAACCTTTTCATTTGGTTTTCTTATGAGGAGCTGCAAATGGCTTAGATTATGGATAACAATGGTAGCACTGTTAACCCGTGTGTGATGTTTTTAAAGCAAAGAGAAAGCCGCGATGACTTCAGACTCATCTGAGCTATGTTCCCGACTTGTTATTGAAGTTACACAGCTTCAGAAAGGACATCTGTGACACCCTTTTCTCTTTGAATCACCTGTCTCCAGACAGACCCCCACGGCCTGGATGCTCTCCGGCTTCTCTCCATTGAACACCATGCATATGAACTGCAGGCAGTAGATGCCGATGTCTAGCATTGCTCCTCCGCCCAGCTCCTTCAGACCCGACCTCGGCACGTGCGATAACGGCTCACCAAACTCCGACCTCACCATCTTCACCTCTCCCAACTCCCCCTGGTCCAACAGCCGCCTGATCTCCACTGAGGCTGGGAAGAATCTGGTCCATATAGCCTGGGGAGGAGGCAGTCACACAGTCACAGTTTAGTGCTAGCTTTGTGTAATCTTATTTAGTAGTTGACTTACATTAGAAAGTTTTAATGTTAAGTTTGATTTTGCATGTGAAAAGTGGAGGAGACTACGGTGGCCGTCAGGTGTAAACGCAAACAAACCCTGAAAACAAGAACAACAAAAAAACGCTGCATTTACAGAAATGATGCAAACTAAATATA